CACTCCAATGCAAGTCAACTGGCAGCACAAGCACACACAACACACACGAGAAATACTTGTATCAATGCACACGATAAAAGTCGCACTCCAATGCAGGTCAACTGGCAGCACAAGCACACACAACACACACGAGAAATACTTGTACCAATGCACACGCAACACACACGAGAAATACTTGTACCAATGCACACGATAGAAGTCACACTCCAATGCAAATCAACTGGCAGCACAAGCTAACGCAACACACACGAGAAATACTTGTACTGATGCGAATCTCAAGATAGCTAAACCAATCCTCTTTACTTTACGCCGTTTGTGTGTACACATACATGCGTACATGCGTATGTGCACACCTAATAATACAACACGACTCCGTGCACACACATAACATATGTGCAACAGCACATTCACACACAACCCGTCTCTGCGTACAAGCACTCACAAACATGCTACATAGAATAACCGCACACACATGCTACATACACTAACCTCACACATGCTACATAAACCAACCTCACACATGCTACATAAACTTACCTCACACTTGCTACATAAACTAACCTCACACATGCTACATAAACTAACCTCACACATGCTACATAAACTAACCTCACACATGCTACATGAACTAACCTCACACATGCTACATACACTAACCTCACACATGCTACATAAACTAACCTGAATGTAAACTTTTCTCCCCAGAAGGGTGCTGACGCTTGTGCTTTCGTTTGGGTGCGTGCCTGGTATTCCCAGTCAAGCACCACCATGCAGAAGTAGCTTCCAACAGCCACGTCCTTGGCTGTAGGTTTAGGGTTTGGGGTTTAGGGTTTAGGGGTTTAGGAGTGGGAGGTAAAGGCGGGTGATGAGCAGGTCATGTGCAAAGGTGAATTGTCTACACACAATACTCCGAGCGAGCTATTCTTAGCCACGGGCGGGCACACACATCCCTTGACTGACTTTGAACGTAAGGGTAGAGGTTGTTGTACTATGCAACACTCGCATAGTTTAAGATTGCACATACGCTCTTTGCCATTGCAAGTGGATCACTGGCACGTACTATGACATGGCAGAACAACCGAACGGTTGACAGGCAGATGAGGGACCAAGACTTCGTTACGTGGGGAATGAATGCAAAGTACAAACGATCATCTGCGCAAGCATATATATATATATATATATA